GTCAAACAGGTTATTATTGTCTACCCCTTAAATCAAGGTTGGTTTACCTGTGGTTGGCAAACTGCGGCTCGCGAGCCACATGCAGCTCTTTGGCCCCTTGAGTGTGGCTCTTCCTAAGCCTCAGGAGTACCCTAATTAAGTTAATAACAATGTATCTACCTATATAGTTTAAGTTTAAAAAATTTGGCTCTCAAAAGAAATTTCAATCATTGTACTGTTGATATTTGGCTCTGTTGATTAATGAGTTTGCCGACCACTGGTTTAGACAGTTAATTCAGAGAGGGAAGATGTGCCTCTTTCCAGGTGGCTGAAGTACCATTAATGGAGGAAACACTTTCACAAGGGTAGCCTTCTTTCCTGGGTAACCTTCTCAGAAGTTTGGGGGTGGGCATGGAGCCAGCCCACAAAGGGGTTCAGGGGCAGGGCAGTGGGAGCTGAAGAAAGAAGAGGTTAGACCTGCTCTAGTTCACAACAGAGTAATAGAAAAACAAGAAGATAAGAAGAAAAAGCAGTGGATCTCTATGACCTTGGCACGTTGGGACGTGAGTGGAAAGTCAAAGAGAGCTTTTGCTATCTCCATGAGTATTTGTGTTCAGAGGCGGTTATTTGTTTGAACCAGACTGTTAGGCAATGAGTACTCTGACATGCTATCCTGAACTCTTTGCTTTCTCCAATGTACCTTTTTCTTCTGAAATTTATTTTGTATTTTGTAATGTACTGGAAACCTTTAATGGCTAACTAAAGTTGTAAAGTAATAGTGTTGAAAATGCTGCAAAGAATCAACAGGAAAATATCATGGTGAATATTAAAATGCAAATTTTAAGGGGCTTAAAAGCTCCTAAAAAAGTGTTCAAAGTGATAGAGATCAACAGTTAATTTGGAATTGCTTTAGAGTTTAAAAGATAATAGGACACTGTGAAATATTTTACACCAATAAATGTGAAAATTTAGATGAAAGAGATGACTTTTGAAAACATAGGACATACCAAACTAACTCAAAGTCTAAAAATCACCAACTCAAATTGGTAATTAGAAGCAGTTGGTGACTTTGGCAAGAATGGTTTCAATGCAACACTAGATGGCTGGAGAATAAGCAGAGGCAGAAAGAATACACAATTCTTTTGAGGAGTTTTGTTGTAAAGGAGGCAGATCTAAATCTGCCACACATATGATCTTACACACACACACACACACACACACACACATTAGTGAAAAAGAGACAGGAATGTATTCCCACACCACTTAGCTCTGCAGAGAAGGCCCTTTGCTTCCCCTCACAGCTTTACACAACTCTTGACATGGGTCTGTTTGCAAGTGGGCAGATCATCATGGATGTCAGACAGGTTATTATTGTTAATGAGTTTGCCGACCACTGGTTTAGACAGTTAATTCAGAGAGGGAAGATGTGCCTCTTCCCAGGGGGCTGAAGTACCATTAATGGAGGAAAGCTTTCACAAGGGTAGCCTTCTTTCCTGGGTAACCTTCTCAGAAGTTTGGGGGAGGGCATGGAGCCAGCCCACAAAGGGGTTCAGGGACAAGGCAGTGGGAGCTGAAGAAAGAAGAGGTTAGTGCCACTGCAGACCTGCTCTAGTTCACAACAGAGTAATAGAAAAACAAGAAGATAAGAAGAAAAAGCAGTGGATCTCTATGACCTTGGCATGTTGGACGTGAGAGGAAAGTCAAAGAGAGCTTTTGCTATCTCCGTGAGTATTTGTGTTCAGAGGCGGTTATTTGTTTGAACCAGACTGTTAGGCAATGAGTACTCTGATGTGCTATCCTGAACTCTTTGCGTTCTCCAATGTACCTTTTTCTTCTGCAATTTATTTTGTATTTTGTAAAGTACTGGAAACCTTTAATGGCTAACTAAAGTTGTAAAGTAATAGTGTTGAAATGCTGCAGAGAATCAACAGGAAAGTATCATGGTGAATATTAAAATGCAAATTTTAAGGGGCTTAAAAGCTCCTAAAAAAGTGTTCAAAGTGACATAGGTAGAGATCAACAGTTAATTTGGAATTACTTTAGAGTTCAAAAGATAATAGGAGGACACTGTGAGATATCTTATGCCAATAAATGTGGAAATTCAGATGAAAGAATGACTTTTGAAAACATAGGATATACCAAATTAACTCAAAAAGTCTAAAAATCACCCACTCAAATTGGTAATTAAAGCAGTTGGTGACTTTGGCAAGAATGGTTTCAATGCAAAACTGGATGGCTGGAGAATACAGTAGATACCCAGAAACAATAGGCAGGGCTTGGGCTTGCTTACGGCAAAGACAACCTTTTACTGAGAAGGTTATAGGCCTGAGGTGTGACTATTCAACATGACCTACCCAGTTAGGAGTCAATGATCAGATCATCCTGTGAAGTTACTTTCCATAGAGGCCCTTTTCATCATAAATGAATCCGAAGAATGCATCGATGACCATCCTCTTGGTTGCATGGTGTGGTCTCACAGCACCAGGAAGTCTCATTCCTAGCAAGTCTCAGTACCAACATTCTCTTATTGACCTTTGAGGATGGGGCAATATTGTAACCATGGAATGTGAGTTGAGGCCAAATTTTCCCAGAAAGGAAAAAGCAGGTAGATGGAGGCAGTCAGGTCAAATGACCTTCATTTGAAAAACACTCTACATCATTTCTGTCCTTTGAATGGTCATGATCTGAGTTCTGCTGTCTTATTTTTCTGTGTTTTGCATAAGCCATAAAAAGAGTATTAACAGTTATCTTATACATGTTCAGTAATCATAAGTAGTTAAGCTACATAGAAAAATCCAAAGAACAAGTACAACTATTATTATGACTAATATCATTAGCAGACAGGTAAAGACAATTAAACAAAATGGTTTCTCAGTTCAACATCAATCTATAGGTATACAGGCCTTGTTAGTATCTTGAGATACCTGTCTACCTCTCATGTCAATAACTTCTCATCCGAGAAGAACTTTTGATGTTCCTTGTAGGTGAAGGCAAGTTATCCTTTCATGGTTAGATGTCTGATAAGGTCCCTAACAATGAGGTTGGAGAGTGTCTTTATTTGTTGTCTTTTCCAAGTTTATCCAATTTGAAGTGGGGAGCCAATGGGACACAATGGACCCATGCTGGTACCTAGACCCAGGTCCAAGCCACAAGGTGGTCCTGGGTAGGCTTCTTCAAAACCCTGCCGCAATGCCAATAAATGTCAATGTAAGAAACATCCATATTATATTTGTAGAGAATTTTTATGAATTTATTTGAGCCAAACTGATGACATAGCTGGGAAGCAAGATCTCAAATATTCCCAGATACTTGCCTTTATTATTTATTCCAAAAGGTTGTGCAGAGTAGATAACCATCACCCACCTCAAACCTTTTCAGTGACAAACATTATCTACTAAAAACTCATAGGGTCAGGCATACCTAAAATGTGTTTGCAACAAAATATTATTTTTTTAAGAATAAGCATTGTGAATTGAAAAGTACAAGATATGTAAGTGAAGGGTAATATTTGGGACAAGAATTCTAAAAAAAGTTAAAATAAAAACTAGACTTCCTCTGAGTATACAGATGATTATGTATTTACTGCTCTGATTGTATTACTTTAGGCAAGGGAGAATGGCTAGAGAAAATGAACCTATTGAGAACTTGTCCAATACACATCCTGGAAATTAGTCATAGGTCTTTATAACTCCTACATATCCTCTCATCCCTATCTAGACAAAATTATAAAGAAAAAAATAGTGCCATCACCATGTTGATGTAGCTGTAATCCACAGAGCCTCAGGGATCTAAGCAAAGGGTGAAAACTCCCAACTGTTCAACACTCTAATGATTGTTGTCAACTGACTTAAGCACATTATAGAAATTAGATTCTTTTTGGTAACATCCAGTATTTAGAAGAAGTTGAGGGCTAGAAGTCTCCTCCTTCCACAAAATCACTTTGAACAATGAAGTCAAGGGTCAGACAACATTCTGCTTCACAAACAAACACTTATCCGCAATGGCTATACCGCCTGTCCTTGTTAGCTTGATGAAGTTCAAATTCTGTTTTATCACATGCCCAACTCATACGTTTATGAAAGGCTCACTTTAGATAAAAGTAATAAATTCTAACATAATTCAGCTAACTTCTTAGAATCAGTTAATGACAATCCTCAGGGAAATCTGCTGAACAAAGAAATATGCTGGGATTCTGCACCTAGGGGGCCATTACAAAGGTGTGGGCTACCTGGGCTCACCTAGGTACTTAGATCTGGTTCTGGCTGGTACAAAAATCACCAGAAAGTCTGAACATCTGAACATCTTGACCACCATATTTTTCACCAAAGAAAAATTTATTTCTAGAAGCTAGTTAGGCTAAGTAACCAGGCCTATTTTGTTGACCTAAAAAAAAAAAAAGCCTGGCCAATGTGTTCAGTGGTTGAGCACAGACCTATAAACCAAGGGGTCACAGTTAGATTCCCAGTCAGGGCACATGCCCAGGTTGCAGGCTCGAGCCCCAATAAGGGGCATGCAGGAGGCAGCCAATCAATGAGTCCCTCTCATCACTGATGTTTCTATCTCTCTCTCACTCTCCTTTCCTCTCTGAAATCAATAAAATAAAATTTAAAAAAATAACAGAAGCACTTGTAGTAGGTTTTTAAAAGGTTACTATAAATCCAAAGACTGTATTCTCAATTAAGTTTGGATGTAGATTTAAAAAACTTCCCTTCCAACCACTAGTTGGGGTAACTAGTCCTAGACTAGTCTTCCCACCATAAACAACTGGGTGTTTGTATGTATTGATTGTTTTCAGATGTTGAACAACAAGCAATTGTTGTGATCCCTGAGAGAAAGGAAACATACAAGGTGAGCCTGGTGATCACTCAGCTTTCTGACTGTAGGCACTTTTCAGACTATGGGACAAACCCAAGCACAGCACAGCCATCTCACTGAGCTGAGGGTCAGAAAGAAGGGAGCTGCACAGAGAAATCTGCACGGTGCTCTCTTGAATGTCTGCACACTAATCTGCTCATTCTTTAGATGCAACTTCATGAGGTGAGACAAAGAAGAACTACTGGGAAAAGAAAAAACACCAGTGAACTGAACAGCTATTGGAATTTCTAGAGGGCTGGAAGGTGATTTCGTTGCAACCAACCAGAATGGAGGTATGTCTGTACCTTCTGGACATTCAGTGGAGACTCTACAAAGGCGATGCCTTAGGAATAGGACTAATCTAATTCTAAAGTAAGTGCAATTCAAGATCCTCTATAGCAAATCTTACAAATAATCTCAAAAAGATCAGGCTGATTTTTAAGAGTATTAACTGCCCACTAGAACAAAACTCTTTAAAGGAAAAAGTAAAATCCACCAACTCAACTATATAGCACTCACAATATCTAACATACAATAAACGATTTACTAGACATGCAAAGAAAGAAAATATAAGCCACAAGGAAGAGAAAAATCTATCATTAAAAAGATCCAGAAATAACAGTGATAATGAAATTAATACATAAGAGCTTTTAGACAGCTATTATAAATATGCTTAAGATTTTAAAAAATCATAAATAAGCACTAAAGAGTATACCAAAATGCATTGGCGTTATCTATTGGAGAATATAAAGTAAATGCACTTAGAAATAACATTTGCATAGAGTAGGTAGCTGTATGAATTCCATTTAGTATAGTTATTCAACTTTCTCTTTTTCACCTCATTACCTAACAACTTATGAGGTTGTAAAGTTTCCCAAGGGCCAGAATGAACATATTTCTACATTTGTAGGCTATTCCCTGGGTTATGTGTCATAGAAAATGTCCAGAAAGAAACCACTGATCAATCTTATTAGGACTCCTTTCATCTTGGAAACAGCATTATCTTGGGAAATGTGAGTCAGGGTATGGCGGAGGCACTGAGCAGAGTGCAGCAGCAGCTCTGGATGCATGTGGGAGTCATAGCTGCAATTCGACAGTCATTGATTTCATGCATGCTATGTATACAGCACAGGACTAGGCACTGATAGCCATAGAGACATACTAGTACATAGGCATTGAGATAGAAACATAAATACCTATAATTAAAATTGGAGTAAAAGAAGTGTTTTAGTACAATGGCAATGTATAAGTGAGACATAATTTCAGTAGGAGTGATGGGGTGAGACTTAGAAGAAAGGCATGTGAAGGAGAGCAGTGTTCAGAATTTATTTATATATCCTATATAATAAAAGCATGATATGCTAAGTGTCCGACCAATCGGTCGATCGTTTGGTTGACCACTGGACCAGTCTCTATGACATGCACTGACCAACAGGGGCAGACACTCCGGTAGGTTAGCTTGTTGGGGTCTGGCCTATCAGGACTAGGCTAGACGGCCCAATCAGCCACTCAGCCACGATCACTGGCCAGGCCAAGGGATCTCACCCATGCACAAATTTGTGTACCGGGCCTGTAGTATATATATCTTTTTTTTTTTTCCAGAGGGGAAGGGAGAGGAAGAGAGAGATAGAAACATCAATGATGAGAGAGAATCATTGATTAGCTACCTCCTGCACATCCCCCACTGGGGATCAGAGTCCTCAACCCACGCATGTGCCCTTGACCGGAATCAAACCTGGGACCCTTTAGTCTGCAGTCAACACTCTACCACTGAGCCAAACCTGCCAGAGCCAGAATTTCTTCAACCTGGCATCTATAGAGTCTTAGGGCTTTTGTTCTATGGTCCCTTATACTCTTTCTCCACTCTTGGCTCTAGTTTAGGATTCTTTCATTCTGAGAACTCCTAGGTTTTCCCTAGGAAGACATGGAAGGGTGCTTCTATGGGCCCCCTGGGCACCAGTCAGTCTCTGACTTGTTTCCACTCTATGCCATCCCGTACCAGCAGCAACTTCTTCATCTACATCAGAAGGCGTTCCTCACCAATGGAGCTCAAAGCTCTGGGAAGGATGCACCTGGAGCACCAAGAACAGGAGGGAGGGAGGAAGGAAACTCTGGCTGAACAGGTGGACCTGAACACTATTGACTTTGTCAATAAAGGGAAAAGCTACAAAAGCCAGAGCTTCCTCATATCACATCTTTTACCTCAGAATTTCTATCTTGCTTCAGTAAGAAACTTAACGTCTAATTTAATCAGGGTGGAGAAAGAAGTCTTGAATATAAAGTTGTGGAGTGTCTCCTAGCACTGTAAGGACAAGAATAATGTTGGAGTATGCAAAGGCATCATGTAGCAGTCAAATGAGGCTTAACTCTGAGTCTTACAGATGTGACTTTTGGGTCTTCCAGGTGTTTCCTGTTGGTGCAGAAAGATGGATCACAACGGGGTCTGAGCTAAGCAATCAGTGCAGGGGATCAAGAATGGGGTAGTGAGCTATAAAAGAACTTTGTCATTTCATGAATTCTGGAAACTCAAAAGGTAAGAGGAGTTAAATGAGTTGATTAAATGAAAATGAGGAATAGTGTGTGTAAATAGCCCACTGGGAAACACCAAGAACAATAAATGAGAATATTCAGAGATTGGGGAAAGAAGGAAGCTCCACACAGGACAAGTTGTAGGCTAACGGTGCAGAGCTAAGGATGAGGCATGGCTGAGAATTTCTGTAGGAAGAGTCCAATAATCATGGGTTGAGATAAATATACTAGGAAAGAGGTCTGAACCAAGAAAGATGCTCCTGAGGCCTATCATTAAAGAACCCTGATCCCCAGAGATATAGGCAGCTAAGAGAAACCTCAGCTTCATCTAGAAGGAGAAGGAAAGAGAAAAGGGAGCATAAATTAGCAGTAAAGACATAAAGACGGGTAAGGAGTGTTCAGTATTTATTTATTAAATTAAATTTATTAGAGTGACATCCTATATAATAAAAGGGTGATATGCAAATTGACCCTAACAGGGGAACGACTGGGAACAACCGGTTGCTATGACGTGCACTGACCACCAGGAGGGAGATGCCTAATGCAGGAGCTGCCCCCTGGTGGTCAGTATGCTCCCACAGGGGGAGCTCCACTCAGCCACAAGCTGGGCTGACAGCTGCAAGCTCAGCGGTGGTGGTGGGAGCCTCTCCCACCTCCTCGGCAGTGCTAAGGATGTCTGACTGTGGCTCCTGGGCTACCAGAGGGATGTCTGACTGCCAGGGGATTGGGCCTAAGCTGGCAGGTGAACATCCCCAGAGGGGTCCCGGACTGCAAGAGGGCACAGGCCGGGCTAAGAGACCCCCCAAGTGCACAAATTTTCATGCACCAGGCCTCTAGTCTATATATATAAAAGCCTAAGTGACCGTTCAACTGGTAGCTATGACACGCACTGACCACAAGGGGGAAGATGCTCAGTGCACAGGCATGGAAACATGGAACAGATTGAGGAATTTCAAAGGGAAAGGGGCAGAGGAGAAGGCAAGAAGAGATTAAGAGGGCAAAGATCTTATATCCATACTAGAGGCCTGGTGGACAGATTTGTGCACCAGTGGGGTTCCTCAGCCTGGCCTGCAGGGATTGGGCTGAAACTGGCAGTCCGACATCCCCTGAGGGGTCCTGGATTGCGAGAGGGCATAGACCCCACTGGTGCACCAGGCCTCTAGTTAGTTAATAAGGCCTCTAGTTAGTTAATAAGATTATATATGTTTCAAGTGTACAATTCTATGGTATATCATCTGTATATTGCATTGTGTGCCCACCACTCAAAGTCAAATTTTCTCCCATCACCATGTATTTGACACCCTTTATTATTTACTAACCCCCTTCCCTCTGATAACCACCATACATTGTCTGTGTCTATGAGTTATTGTTTGTTTGTTTTTCTTATTTGTTCATTTGTTGCTTTCAGTTTTATATCTTACACTAGATGCCCAGTGCATGAAATTCGTGCCCTTTGGGGAGAGGGCCCTCAGCCCAGCCTTCCCCCTCTCACAGTCTGGTTAGCCCTCAGGGGATGTCCTACTGACGGATATCCTAAACTGCAGTCTGGCCTCCCTCTGCAGGCTGCAGTCTGGCCTCCCTCTGCAGGCTGAACAGGGGAAGGTGCCACCCCCATCACCCCAATGCTGGCCATCAAGGTGTTTTCATCAACACGAACTCCAGTCCCCTCACCACAAAAAAATGACAACTTTCTTTAGGCATTTTCAAGATGTCTCTTTCATAGGATATGACATTTCTTTCTTTCTTTCTTTCTTTCTTTCTTTCTTTCTTTCTTTCTTTCTTTCTTTCTTTCTTTCTTTCTTTTTATCCTCACCTGAGGATATTTTTTCATTGATTTTTAGAGAGCATGGAAGAGAGAGGGAAAGACAGACAGAAACATCAATATAAGAGGGATACTTCTATTGGTTGCCTCCTGCATGAGCTCTGACCTGGGCCCCAGCCAGGGAGGGGCCTGCAACCTAGGTACATGCCCTTGATCAGAATTGAACCCAGACCCTGCGGTCCACAGGCCGAGGCTCTATCCACTGAGCCAACCCGGCTAGGGCAGGATATGACATTTCTTAGACCCTCCAGCATCAGACCTTCGTTTTTTCCTCCAGGAGTGAGGTGGAAAAGCCCTAGATCACCTTCTTGGATTCTTATTACCAAAGTTATCAAGAACACTGAGAGTGGTGTACAGGGAGCTTAGCCAATGAGCTGTAAGAAAAGGTGTTTCCTCTGCAGCTCACATGCAGAGGCAGGCCTGCTGGGGGCTGTCTCCCAGTAGAGACAGCCTGAGCATGCCCCCGCCCCCTGCTCTGCAGGCCTGCTCAGCCCTGCTTTCTGCAGACCTGATCATGGCTGTGGTGGCTGGCCAGCCCTGCTTCCTGTTCTCTGCAGGCCTGCTCGGCCTTGCTTTCTGCAGACCTGATCATGGCTGTGGTGACTGGCCAGCCCTGCTTCCTGTTCTCTGCAGGCCTGCTCCACCCTGCTCTCTGTAGACCTGATCATCGCTGCAGCGACTGGCAGGCCCTGCTCCCTGCTCTCTGCATGCCTGCTGGTTGCCTGTGCCATCTATGGCTTGCCTCAGTGCACAGCAGTCCCCATCCCCCTCCCCATCTGCGCTCACAGTCTATAAAGAGGTAATATGCAAATGTGTTCAGTCATGACCATTATGGAGTCCCAGACAAATTTGCATATTACCTCTTTATATATGTGTGTGTGTGTGTGTGTGTGTGTGAAATCATATGGTTCTTGACTTTTTCTGTCTAACTTATTTTGCTTAGCATGATGTTCTCGAGATCCATGTTGTCACAAATGGCAGTATTTCATCCTTTCTTATGGCTGAGTAGTGTTCCAGTGTATATATGTACCACATCTTCTTTATCCAATTACCTATCAAAGGACACTTCAGTTATTTCCATGTCTTGGCCACCATGAATAATGGTGTAATGAACATAGGCGTGCATATATCTTTGTGAATAAATGTTTTCAAATTTTTCATGTAGACACCAGAAGAGGGATTGCTAGGTCATATGATAACTCTATTCTTAATTTTTTGAGGGACCTCCATACTTTTTCCCATACTGGCTGTACCAGATTACATTCCCACCAGCAGTGAATGAGGGTTTCATCTTCTCCACAACTTCTTCAACACTTGTTATTGTCATGTTGACGTTCCGTGCTCTAAATCTATGACAACTTTGTTAGTCATATGAAATTCTTTGCTTGTAACACATCTCATTTCTACATAGTTGTACATAGTTTGTACAACTAAGATTTTCTGTATAGTATAAGAGTTTTAATTTTGAACCAATAGTAAGTATTCCCGCCACCTTTTATTAACTCTCTTTGAGATGTTTACCAGAATTTACCAAATTTTGGTTTCTAACTTGTTCTCTTCATTTCTTCAAATACTTTATCTATGGAGATATTTGCACACATGCAATATTAACCATCACGTTTCCTCATTCTTGCTCTATCTTATCTTCTTATCTTGACTTATTCTGCCCACATATAGAGTTCCAACCGAAGCCTGCTTTTTCTATGGAACCTTCCCTGACTTCAAATTGTTAGGTAAGAAGTTAGACATGAGTGGCTGTGGTGAGACCTGCCCTGGGGTCCTGAACAGGGGTCCAACCAATATTACCTTCAGACTGCCTTTCTATGGGCAGCCCAGCAGACCACCAGCAGGCAGGTTCAGAGCCAGCTGGTTCTTGGTACAAGCTCAGAGGAAAATGACATGACCTCAATGCAACCTTACAAAGGTGCTAGACTAATTATAATAAAATTTGCATTTTGGTTTTGACCCTCCTCCCACCCCATGTGTTTTTCTATGTACATTATACTTAAGGGCATGCCCAGAAGAAAGAAAGTTTTTGTCGATCATCCCTGAATGGGAATTAAAGGCTCCACCCAGAAAACCCCTCTTTTAAAACCAGGAGTTGGGAGCACTTGCCATTTGGTCTCTCTCTCTCTTGACTGGCCCACTCCTCATTTGCTTTACTCCATTTTGCTTTACTTTTATTTTTGTTGACCTTAAAATCATTTCTGCATCAACAAAAAGAACCGAGGTCCCACCCCACCCCCACCTCTTCAAATATGTTTACGGTTCTCTTTGAAATGGGGACCCTTGTGGGGAGTCATGGTCTAGGAGAGAAGGTTCAATTTCCATTAAATTCTCATTTTTAGAAAAGGAAAAAAATCTTTATGTTAGTGTTTAGAGCCTAATAAACTGCACATGTTTCTGGTACTTTATTCCTTCTCTAGGTGACAATAAAAAATTGTTCTTAACTATGGCAACCTCAGTGCTGGCTTCAGAAAATGCCATTTCTAATTGTGCTTTGGTATATTGAGTGTTAATGAGAACAAAAGGATCAATTTTTTTAAAGTAATTATATTTTTTATGTTATTTTATTCCTAGCCTTTAATGTACCAGCATCCTCAAACAACAAGTAAAAATTGTGCTTTCTAAGTACAGTGCATTAATTCTTAAACCAGAGCTTCCAAAGGTTGAGAGAATATGACTTGGTCTTCTTGCCTTTTTCTTCTGCATTTCTGAAAATGAGGGAACTGCTTTTGAGCTGCAGAACTCTCCAACATCCAGTCTTCCAAGAGCGTGACAACAGCTAACTAGGAAGGATATGAGGTATAACAAAATACATGTTTTTAGGGTGGTACTCTTTAGCCTATTCTTCTTTTTCACTTTCTACTTCCTCAGACCCTGTGAGTTTTTACGTTCACATTCTCTCCAGATAAGTGGTGGTAGTGGATTGAGGGTTTTGACTCGGGTGGGGATTGTTGGCCCAGATGGGTTTGAAAATGAACATGTCCATGGACTGGAGAGTATGGGTCCAGGGGAGGCTGTACCCACATTGTTGTACCCTCCAATGGAAGGTGAAGTTGACTACCAAACAGATCCTCCAAAGTGTTGTCGATTCTGGAGCTGCCAGAGAGAGAAAACCAGATCACAGACACAAAGCAGCAGGAAGGAATTGTATGTTCACCACCCAAAGTCAACTTTCT